GGGTGCTCCTCAGGGGGAGCCCCATGTAGAGAGCATTACAGTAGTCCAGGCGAGAGGTGACGAGAGCATGAGTGACTGTGCGCAAGGCGTCCCGGTCCAGAAAAGGTCGCAACTGGTGGATCAGGCGGACCTGATAAAACGCCCCCCTGGTCACGGCCGACAAATGGTCTTCCAATGTCAGCCGTGGATCCAGGAGGACATCAAGAGAAGCTTCCTGTCTCATCGGTTGGATCCCTCAGTTGGTCCAACACTGAAGGGCAGCAGCACAGGAGGACCCAATGAGATCAGGAGAAGATTCAAACGCAGTCCATCTGCGTTTGGAGGCCGCTCTTTTGAGGACAGCAAAGTCCACACTCTGCACCAAGAGGACCGCTGGTTTGAAAGAAGAGGGGTCAAAGAGGCCGTCTAGGTCAAAACGGAACAGCCCTCTCTCAACAGAGGGGGAGTGATACAACACCACCCATCTCCTGTTTACGACACAGTCTCTTTTCAGCAGTTCCAAGAAGGTTCCACACCTCCATCTGCACTACTCAGGTGACCCTGAGGACACAGGTAAACCCCCAAGTGCCCTCAATAGCTCAGAGAGAGCGCTAATGACGAGATGACTGCAAGGAATATAAATCCTTCCATTCTCCACCATTCGGTAAGAACCGGAGAAGCTTCTAAAACGTCTTCAAGGAAAAACGAAGTCCAGTTGCCTTTTAAAAAAAGCAGGTTTGGGTCAACCATGGACCTGGATGACTGGGAATCTCCACAGATGTACAGAAGGAGGAGCCTCACCTCCTGCAGGCTCCAAGGAAAGCCAGGTTCTCTATGTCTAAGCCCGGGTGGTCCCTAAAATGAGAGGGGGTCAGACCCACCCAACTTACGTTATCTCGGATGTTGATGTCGGAGCCTTTGGCCAAGAGAAGCTTCACCAGCTCCACGTGCTTGTACTCCGTAGCCCATATCATTGGCGTCCAGCCTCCGTCATCCTGGGAACAAAGGGACACCACTTGAGCAGAGGCCGAAGTCTGGCCTGGCGCTGCTTACCTTGGAGATGGAATATTACGGAAGGGGGGGAGACTGGAAGAGACTAGGTGGACCCTGACATTATTGTTTAGAAAACTGAAAGGCCCACCAAGTCTTTTGTTTAGAAGGATATTCACGTGCCAAGCAAAGAAGACCAAATAATAATGATGATGATGATGATGATGGAGAAGGAGGAGGAGGAGGAAGAGGAGGAGAAGGAGGAGGAGAAGGAGAAGGAGAAGGAGAAGGAGAAAGAAGAAGAAGAAGAAGAAGAAGAAGAAGAAGAAGAAGAAGAAGAAGAAGAAGAAGAAGAAGAAGAAGAAGAAGAAGAAGAAGAAGAAGAAGAAGAAGAAGAAGAAGAAGAAGAAGTAGTAGTAGTAGTAGTAGTAGTAGTAGTAGTAGTAGTAGTCGGAAGGGACCTTGGAGGTCATCTAGTCCAACCCCCTGCTCAGGCAGGCATCCCTCTCTCATGACCTTTCTGATCAATAGGTGTGGGGTCCTTGGTGCTCTCTGAGCAGGCTTGTTTTCTTGAAGACGTTTCATTATCAAACGAGGTAACATCATCAGTGCTAGGAAGGAGGGGGCCTTGTGGAGTGAAGGAGACAGAGAAGCATGAAGAGAAGAAGGGGAAGAGGACAAAGGAGGAAGGAGAGAGGAGGAGGAGGGAGAGAAAGAGAAGAACTGTGGGGTCCTTAGTGCTCTCTGAGCTGGCTTGTTTTCTTGAAGACGTTTCATTATCAAACTAGGTAACGTCATCAGTGCTAGGAAGGGAGTGGGGGTTTGCGCTTATTTTACATGCCGTCAGTGTTGGTGGGAAAGGACTTGGCAGATCCTGGATTGGGCTGTTGTTTTCTGTTAGCTGGTTTGCCTGAGTTGGCAGTTTCTGAATTGGGATAGTTGTTGGCTCCTTAATGATGCGTTGTGCCATCCATGGGGGACAACTCTGCATAAAGGTAGCCCCCCCCAAAGCCCCCCCTTTTCAGTCCAGCACGCTCTGTAAGGGCTCAGGAGGCCACAAAGAGGGTCGCTGGGTAGCTGAAGGCCAAATATGGGTGGCCCATTCTTCTCCTGCCACCGCGCCAAGCCTATTTGTCACCGTGTCCCCATTCTGTTGGAAAGGCCTAGAGAAGGCCAAACAAACAGAGAAAGGGGGGAGGGAGGGAGGGGAAGGGGGAGGGGGAGAGGGAGGGGGGGGGAGAAATGTCCTTTTGGTGACTCAGAGAACAACCTGAAATGGCTTTGTTGCAAGGCAACTGCAAGCATGAGAGAACGAGAAGGATGCGTGGGCTTCGTTAATTCTGGCTATAACGGATCATCGCAGAGCAGGGACCGATAAGGCAAAAGAGTTTTCTGGGCTGATTCCCATCCACCTCCTGAAAGCTGGGCAAGTGGAAAAGGATTTGGGGAAGGGAGGGAGGGAGGGGGAGGGAGTTTGGCACCCCAGCCACCATTACCCATAAGGAACATCAGTTGTACATTTATCCATAAGTCGTAAGAACCGTTGCAGGGGTTGGGTATGGCCAGTCTTAGAGAAAAGGACGAGGAACGACACGATAGCAGTGTTACAATATATTTGAGGGGCTGCCCCAAAGAGGAGGGGGTCCACCTATCCTCCAAAGCACCTGAAGGCAGGACAAGGAGCAACGGATGGAAACTAACCAACTTAAGAACTAAGCAGAAATTTCCTGACAGTTAGAACAAGTAACCTGCCTCCAGAAATTGTGAGTGCTCCAACACTGGAAGTTTTCAAGAAGAGACTGGACAGCCACTTGTCTCAAATGGTATAGGGTCTCCTGCTTAAGCAGGGGGGGGGGAGGTTGGACTAGAAGACCTCCAAGGTCCCTCCCGTTACTCTGTGTGTAACCTAAGGGTCTCTACTACCTTTACCTTTTGGCTTGGTCCTATTACATTTATATCAAGCCTAATAAGAGACTGGACGGCCACTTCCGTCTCAAAACGGTACAGGTTCTCCTGCTTGAGCAAAGGGGTTGGACTAGAAGACCTCCAAGGTCCCTTCCAGCTCTATCCTGACTTAAAAGTCGTTGTTTGGGCTGTCCTAGCAAAAGAGGAACAGGTGGCCGGACGAATGTGAGTCCCCAGTCAGAAGCAAAGTCACTCACCTGACCGTTGACATCCATCTGTTCGTTAGACAGGAGATACTGCACCACGTCGTAATGGCCCTTCTTGGCTGCCAGGTGCAAACAGGTGGATCCTTCAGCATCCTGAGCCAAAGACAGGTGATCAGGTGGAGGTGTCAGCAGAGCCGGGAGGAGGATTAGATAGGCGAGGGCAACCCAACAACACGGATGGTGGGATAAATGAGCTCGACAACAACCCTCTGGGTTTGGGGCCAGATAAATTTTGCCGGGTGATCTATGGCCAGCCAAGTGATTTCACTCCTGCCCTGCTGTCCTGTGTTGTCCTTCCTTTTTAAACATCAGCTTGCTTAGGAAGCTGCCAGCGCCATTCCTCAGAGAGTCAACGGGCCGAAAAATCCAAGCTCCTGACTCAAAAAGCATGAAGCGGCATGGCAGAGCCACTTCGAACGCACGATGCGCTGCACACTCCACAACTCTTCCGCTTTCTCCTCCTGCTCCTGGCCACTTTTTTTTACAGAGGCACGACGGAAAACGGTTTTCACCAACTGCCATCCCTCTTTGGTTTCATAGCAGCAGAGCCTCAGAGAGAAGGTCCACCCGGAGAGTGGTGAGGACAGCCCAGATGATGATAAGAAGCTTATAAGCGCTTGCATGTGCTTAGAGCGCCAAGCATTGTTAGAGACCCCATAGACACCCCCCCACACACACACACGCACACACTTCACGGTCTGTTTCTGTCGCTCCCCCTCTGGGAGGAGGTTTTGAAGTATCTATAGCAGGACTATTAGATTC